TCTCTCCGTGGATTTATTCCTCCATTTCTTCCGGATCTCGCCATTCGGACGTACGAGTTACTCTTGCTTAACCACACGTCCTTCAAAGGTCCTGTTTACCAATAATGGATCCAACCCGGACGGCTAGGAAGAGAGATTCTTTTTCGCCGAAGTGGGTTCTCCGCTGCCCTTATTCGATCGGTGGAACCCCTACTCGGTCAAGTTCGCCCTCCCAGCCATGTCGGATGAAGAACTAGGGTGCGCCGATCGTATCGCCAGCCTTGGCACCCAAAATCATCGGCTGTTGGTGGCTGAACCTCTTATGTCCTGGGCCAGTCTAGGTATGCCCGCTCATTGTCTTGGGGTGTAGGGTTACTTTGTCACGCCCTAGACCTACCCGGACACGTCAACAACCCGCCATACAGTACGAATAGTCAACCGCAGTCCACCACATCCATACTATACAAGGCATCTGGAATATCATTCACACATAGTACATCCATAAACAAACATAATGTAAACTATTCATTAAAGCAGCGGAAACATTAATACAAGTGTTCAAGCCACACTTGGCAAACTTAGGCATACAAGCCCCCAAATAATTATTTAGAGAGTAATATCCATGAGCATTATTGTAATTGTTTTTGAAATAGAAACGGAGAAAGCACGAACCACGTCTTCGCTCCTAGATCTTCCCGAAGCAACGGGCGTTGGTAGCAAGCTTCAACTTCTAACTGAAACTGTGAGGTGGCCTCCCTCGTGAAGGGGAGGTTAGTACTTTGAAGCATTTGAAAAGTACAATGACAACTACATTGAATATAATCAATGTTTCAATTTCTAAGACCTTCAAATTAGAGTGATATCATAATATAAATGATAATTCATATTTGCCCCTTATTATCTTTATAATAAGTTAATTCATTAATTTGTCGTCACGTGGCCCCCTTTTTATATTCCATTTCATCCATCATTCACACGACACAACCCGTAAATCTTATTATTTCTACGGGACTTGTTACCGCGGTTCGAGGCCTCATAAGGTCATCGGGTCGGATTCCAACATCCCGCCCCTGGACTCATACCCATCATCCCCTAGGAAGGTAAGGCCCTTCGGGGTCCTATCTTATGTGTTACCGCTGTCAGAGCCTCGTTAGGTCTTCGATTCGGATTCCACCCCTACACGTGATCACACTGCAAGTCCATGCTATCCAACCACGCTCTCTAAAGTCGGGAAGGGCCATGGTCCTTACTTATTACCATAATTCAACCGGCCATTCTCAAGGACTACCGAAAACACCTGTAGGCCAATCCTATATCTTGGATCAATTTATTATTCACTTTATCATGGGCCCTTAAGGCCTACCCCTAGTATAACTTAAAGTTCATACATCCCTAGCTTAAAGCATCTCTTAGGACTACTTAAGGCATGACATTTCACAATCCAACCTTAGGATTAATTCTAGCATAATCTTGCTTAATGCTCCGACTAGTATATTAATACTAGTCGGATTAATTCTTAACAATGAGGTTCTTCATTCATAGTCATGTAGACAATTCCAAATTGATTTTCCATTAAAAATATCATTTATATCAATGTACAAAATATCACTTTTAATCATTCATATATTCTTATATGAAGTAAAAAATATATTTCAACATAAGTTTCATAGTTAATTCCACCATCAAGTCAACATATTCATAACACATAATTATACACAATTTATTCTTAAATTTGTATATCATGCTCCTTTTTCTTATAGACAATAGTCTTCTCATTCTTAGGCATTATTAATCATTAATAATCCATAAAAACACATTTAATTATGTTAGGTAATCTCATGAAATTAACTCACTAATTATAAGCAATATAGTCAGCCATCCTCACATTAAGATGTGCTGCAATAGTTTCCTTTGCTAAGCTGCTCGATCAATCCCCGTTCTAGGCCGATTGAAAGTGCAAAATCTGGACAACAGCCAAAAGCCGTGCGGCTTTTGCAAAAGGTGGGCGGCTTTCGGGCATGCAGCTCGAAGATAGTCCCCAACAATGGCGATTTCAACTCCTATCGATTCCACAAATCTTCTAAATTAAATACCACCACTTTATATCAATATTCTACACTTTTAAACGTGTAGAACATCACATTTAATCTACCATATGATTTCTTAAAAATCATACACAACAAAACTAGTTAACGAACAATAGTTGTGTTCTTACCTCCTCTTCTAGCTATTTTCTCATGGGTTTCCCTTCCTCTTCCTTGCTCCAACCTTGGACCTTGTGAGAGCTATTCCCCGAGCTTCTCTCTTGGTTTGGTTTGTGCGGCTGAATGGAATAGGAAGGGGAAGCATACCCCTCAATCAATATGCAAACTAATGCATAGATGGGGCCTAAGAGGTGTGGGTGATTGTCTTGAGCATCTCATCACACTCAAGTCCGCTCCTAGCAATTTTTCCTTGTCCCCTCCCTATTATTTTGGAGTTATTTGACTGGTAGAATACCCCGAGGGGGTGTAGGAAGTTCCTCCCAATTATTATTGCTATTTCTGACAGGTTGGGTCAAAATAGCACGTGGGCTGCCCAAACATTTTCCTCAACTTTAGTTGACATTTTATTGGGCTTCTATAATTATTACGATGACTCAACTAAATATTTGGTAGTCCATTCTAAATATTATGGACCTGATAAATAATTTAATTAATCATTTATTAATTAAATTCATCATTCTTTTACACACAATTTTATTCGCTAGGAAATTCAAATACATATTGAATTTTCAAATTCAAGTACATCCGGGTGCGGTGTCACATCCTTGCATCTTCCAATGCTAACGGTTATTCTTCCTTCTTTGCAGGTGTTCATATTAATCCTCGCACCATGGGTCACAACAACAACATTCCCCCGATCCTGGCCGACATGGCAAAGACAAGGGGAGAGCATCTGCTGACGCCGGCTAGTGCATTACGCGGTCGCGGGACGGAGATCGTGCTGGGGACGATCGTCAGCCTAAGAAGCCTCGCTGTGTGGAAGGGGCTTCCAAGTCTATTGTTTTGCTGGACGCGTGAGACGATGAGATGGCCCCCCCGAGAAGCAGGTCGTCCTCTCAAAGGCCAAAGGGGAAGGAAAAAGAGGATCGTGCTCTTCCGCCACCAGAGCTCCATAATTTCTCTATGGGATTGATTAAATTCTCTGGGCTCGGCCCCCGTACTGAGTCGAAGATGCTCTTCGGCCAGACAACCTCCTCTATTTGGTGCTCACTGGGTCTGAAGGTCCCACATGATTTTGCTGCTTATGAGACTCAGTGGGTCTTCATGAGTGCGGCCTTAACACTCTCAACAAGGCTGCCATTTATTTTAGTAAGGCACGGTTTGTCTACAAGCAGCAAGATCGTGCTATGGCAAAACTGAGGGCCGAGGCCGATGATTTGTTCAAGAACGCTCGGGGGCGTGCAACCAAATTGCAGGAAAAGGCGGACGTCGTTCGCAAGCTTGCCCGGGAGAGTGCATCTCAAAGGGAGACAATCCAGAAACAGGCCGAAGAGCTGCAGACGCTCCATGCCAAACTGGCAGCCGTGGAGAAGGCCAATGTGCCAATCCACCAGGTTGAATCCGATGGGACTGCTCCTGTCTATAAGGCTGACGTCTCCAAGATTAAGGAAGCTGGATCCATTGAGTTCCAAAGGTCTAAGGCATATTAAGATGCCGTGCGGGTTGTTGCGAAACATTTCTTGGCCCGGTACGTCGGGGAGTATCTGGCGGTAAGCTCGGACCCTTACATAGCTGGTATCGAGCTGCTCAACGCCACTCGTACGGGCAAGGATTTCCTTGCCGATCTGGCCGATGACACTTATGCTAAAGGTATGATCGGCCTTGTGGCGTCCAACCTCCCGGTTTTTGAACGTCATTCCGCGCCCCTTTCGATCCTGCAGCCGCTGGGTTCGATCAAGTTTTTGTTGAGGCTCATGAAGGGGCCTTAAAATATCTTTAGGAAAAGTAGGAGAAGGAGCGACAGGAGAAGGAGAAGTAGGGGAAGGACATACAGAGTGCCCCTTCTAGGGATGTGTCTCCGAGCTGCGGTCAAGATCTTCTTCCTCCTCTTGTTCTTTTTTTCGTAGCTCCTTCATTTTTATGTATCTCCCCGGCCGGTAGAGCCGAAGAATAATGATTCATACTTTATACCACCATGTTCGTCTTCTTTTCCTTGTACTTGAGTGCTGAATTAATTGTATGTACCTTTCTGGCCGGTGGAGTCGAAAAATAAAAACTCATTCTCTTGAGTATCAAGCCTGATCTTCTTTTTTTAAGAGCCTTCTCGCCAGTCCTTCGCATTACTCGTTGGGCTGTGCGCTCAAGCTTGGCCTTTGGGGGCCTCGTCTCGTTTGGCCCGCGATAATCTTGGCGACAAATGGGTTTCCTGCCTTTAGGCTTCCCTGATTTCGTTCAACCACCTTCTCACCGGCCCCCCCGGTCCGTGGGACCGTGCCGTGCATCTCGCCCCCTTAGGCCGTGCTGCGCCTGGAGCCCAATGATCTTGATGAAGAACAGGTTTACTCCTCTCAGAATTCCCTGGTTTTCGTTCAACCATCTTCTCACCAATCCTCTGCACCGCCCGTTGGGCTGTGCGTCCGAGCTTGGTCTCTGGGGGCCTCGTCTCGTTTGGGCCGCAATGATCTTGATGAAGAACAGGTTTATTCCTTTCAGAATTCCTTAGTTTTCGTTCAACAACCTTCTCACCGATCCTCCGCACGGTTTGTGGGATTGTGCTGCACAGCTGCCCCCCGGGGCTGTGCTGCACCTGGAGCTCGATGATCTTGATGAAGAACAGGTTTATTCCTTTCTGAATTCCCTGGTTTTCGTTCGACCACCTTTTCACCGGTCCTCCGCCCGGTCTGTAGGACCGTGCAACGCAGCTGCCCCCCCTTAGGAGGTGCTGCGTCTGGAGCCCGATGATCTTGATGAAGAATAGGTTTATTGCTTCCGAAGTTCCCTAGCTCTGGGAGTTACGTCTTCCTTTTCCCCTATCCATTTTTTCTCTTGTTGGAGTCTTCGCCCTTTCTCCCAGCCGTTTTTTCCCTCTCTGAAACAGTAAATGGCGGCCGCCGCCGGAGAAAACATGTCGCGCGAGCAATACCTGTACATGGCCAAGCTCGCCGAACAAGCCAAGCGCTACGAGGAGATGGTGCAGTTCATGGACAAGTTGGTTCTTAGCTCGACTCGAGCCGCCGAACTGACAATCGAAGAGCGCAACCTTCTCTCTGTGGCCTACAAAAACGTCATCGGCTCGCTCCGTGTCGCGTGGCGCATCGTCTCCTCTATCGAGCAGAAGGAGGAGTCTCGGAAGAATGAGGAGAACGTCTCCCTCATTAGGGACTACCGAGGCAAGGTCGAGGCTGAACTCTCCCAGGTCTGTGCCGGGATCCTCAATCTTCTTCAGTCCAACCTTGTTCCTTCTGCGAGTACCAGCGAATCCAAGGTGTTTTACCTCAAGATGAAGGGCGATTACCACCGCTACCTCGTCGAGTTCAAGGTTGGGGACGAGCGGAAGCAGGCCGCTGATGATACTATGAACTCTTATAAGGCTGCTCAGGAAATTGCTCTGGTTGACCTTTCTTCAACACATCCTATAAGGCTTGGTCTAGCCTTGAATTTCTCAGTTTTCTACTATGAGATCCTCAACTCGTCAGACAAGGCACGTGTCATGGCAAAACAGGCATTTGAGGAAGCAATAGCTGAGTTAGATACGTTGGGAGAGGAGTCGTACAAGGACATCACCCTCATAATGCAACTCCTACGGGACAATCTCACCCTCTGGACTTCAGATGCTCAGGATCAGTTGGACGACTCTTGAATCAGTTTGGGTTGTGGGCTGAATGTCATGCATGACCCCTTGCTATTTGTGTATTTTCTTCAACTCTTTGCTTGCTGTGCAAGTTGCTATCTTTACTTTTATTGGTTAGTAATTAGTCTAATGGCGGAAACTTTTCGTCTGAAGGGTATTGGCTGGTTGGGAATTGAAATATGAAAGTAGTATATTTGGGAGTTTTTAGCGCTCATGTATTTAGTACCCTGTTTGGTAAGGTTTAAATTGGTTGAAGTGTTTGTGTTTGTTAAAAAAAGGTGTTCTACGTTCCACATGCCAGCGGCACGCCCCTCCATGGCGTGGAGGAAAAACTTCCCATGTGCGTATTTTTTGTAGACCCTGTACGGGCCTTCCCAGTTCTTGGCCATCTTGCCGCCTTCGAGCAGTTTGCTCTTTTCTCACTTGCGTAGAACTAGGTCCCCAACCTCTATCTCTCTGATCCTCACCGCCTTATTGAAATATCTCTGGGTGGCTCGGTGGTATTCCTCCATCCGATGTGCAGCGAGGTCCCTCCGCTCCTCTATGAAGTTGAGTTCCACCCCTTAGCGTCTCCTCGTTGCGTTGCGGTTGGAAGTGCGTCGTCCGGTGTGTTGACACGAGCACTTCCGTAAGGACCTTGGCCTGAAAACCGTATGCTAATGCGAAGGGAGTCTCTCCGGTCGCTGTCCTCGGAGTCGTCCTGTAGGTCCACAGGATGTAGTTCAGTTGTTCTGGCCATGTGGAGGTGTAGTGTTCCAATTTCTTCTTGATACCGTGATTACCGTCCATGATGGTCCGGTTTATGTTTTCCACCTAGCCGTTGGACTGTGGGTAGGCTACGGAGGTCTTGGAATGTCTGATGTCCCATTTGGCCAGATATGCCGCGAAGCCCTTCTCGACGAACTGCCGGCCATTGTCGGTGGTGATGTGCTCTGGGATTCCGAAGCGGCACAAGATGTTCTGCCAGACGAAACGCTGGCACTGGAATTCTGTGATCGTCGCCAGCGGTTCAGCCTCTACCCACTTGGTGAAATATTCAATGGCCATGATTATAAACTTCCGTCTGCCGGTCATCTTGGGTAGAGGTCCTAACAAATCTATTCCCCATCTAGCCGGTCGTCTTGGCACCGGGGCGTATTACTGGCACACCGCACACTTCTGGGTGTGGTTTAAACAATCTTGTTGGATGGTCGGCCAGTAGTACCTTTGTAGAATGATCTTCCTTGCCAGCGTCCGAGGCCCCTGGTGGTTGGAGCAATTGCCTTCGTGGATTTCTTCCATAACTACAACAGTCAGGTTCGGCGGAAGACATCTGAGGTATGGTCCGCCAAATGCCTTCTTGTACAATTGTCCATCATTGACCTCGAAGTTCGGGGCCCGTCTTTTGATCCATGCGGCCTTCCCGGATGGTCGGCCATCTTGGTCTGCGGGAAGGGTTCCGTCCTTGAGATAATCAGCTATCTCATTCGACCAATCAGGATCTGCAAAAGAAACAGCTGTTACCTGGATAATTTTTGTCACCAAGCGGAGGAGCACTTCCTGCCTGGCGAACCCCCTGATGTGCCCTGGGATGAGCGTCGCCTGATCCTCGGATAGAGGATTGCCTAGCTTGGACAGGATGTCCGCTTCAGCGTTCTCTACTCGGGGTACCTGATCAATGATCACTTACTCAAACTGTGCAGTCTGCTCCTCCGCTAGCTCCTTGTAGGCCTTCATCCGCTCTTCCTGGGTATTGGTCGTTCCATTCATTTGTGTAATCACCAGCTAGCTATCCATTCTTACCTTCAGACGAGCTGCCCCGAGGGCTCTCGCGCATTTCAGTCCTGCGATGAGCGCCTCGTATTCAGCCTCGTTGTTGGTAACCCTGAACTCAAACTTCATTGAGTAGTAGGCCTTGAAGCCCTTGGGGGATGTAATGACTGCACCCCTCCATATCGTTTCGCACTTGAGGCCTCATCGGTGTAAATCTCCCACCAGTTATCAAAATCATTCTTCCCGTGGGAGTCCTCCTCGGTGCGTGCCATGCATTCAACGATGAAGTCTGCCCGTGCCTGTCCCTTGATCTTCGACCTTGGCTTGAATTCCACGTCGTACTGCCCGATCATCAGGGATCACTTGGTAATCCTCCTGCTCGCCATAGGGTTCCTGAGGATGGTGGCGAGTGGCTGTGTTGTAAAGACGGTCAGCGGGTGCGCCTAGAAGTACGGTGCCAGCCGCGTGATAGATGCAATCAAGGCAAGGACCGTCTTTTCCATTAGCGTATATATGGTCTCTGGTCCGTTCAACGCCTTGCTCACAAAATATATCGGCCGCTGGACACCCTGTTCTTCCTTCAGCAGCACAGAACTCAACGCCAGATCAGCAATAGCCAGATACATGTACAACTCCTCCCCGAGGTCTGCCTTTGTGAGGACGAGCGGGGAGGAGAAATATGTCTTGAAGTCTTCGAATGCTGCTTGACACTCTGAGGTCCACTCAAAGGGGTTCGCCTTTTTCATGATTTGAAAGAAGGGAGTGGCCCGATTCGCCAATTTCGACATGAAGCGCCTCAGAGCTGCCAGGCGTCCCGTGAGCCTCTACACGTCTTTCAGATTTTTGGGGGCCTCCATATCCATGATGGCCTTCACCTTCTCGGGGTTGGGCTCAATCCCCCGCTCACTCATCATGTAACCAAGGAATTTACCTCCTTTGACGGCGAAGGCACATCTCTTCAGGTTCAGCCTTATATTGGCCCCCTCCATGATTGTGAAGACCTTTTCCATATCCCGGATGTGGTCCTCCTTCTTCCTGCTCTTGATCAGGATATCGTCCACGTAAGCCTCCATGATCTTCCCGAGAACTTCCTTGAACAATATCCCGATCATTCTTCTGAAAGGTTGCCATCACGTTCCTCAGACCGAACGACATGACAACGTAGCAGTACACTTCGTCCGATGTGACGAAGGCAGTTTTCTCAGCATCGTCCGGATGCATTAAGACCTGGTGATACCCCCTGAAGGCATCAATGAAGCTGAGCAGCTCACAACCCGCTGTCTCATCCACCAATAGATCAATCCTTGGCAAAGGGTAAATATCCATTGGGCAAGCTTTATTTAGATCGGAATAATCGACGCACATCCGCCAGGTGGGGTCTTTCGATGCCAACACCACATTGGACAACCACTCCACATGGATGACCGATCGAATGTGGCGAATGATGAGCAAGGTGGTGACCTCCACCTTGATGAAGTTCCGCCGTTCGGCTGCCATATATCTCTTCTTCTGCTGGATGGGCTTGGCGTCAGGCCGAACAACCAACTTGTGGCATATGATTTCTGGGTCTATCCCCGACATGTCCTCCGATGCTCTGGCAAAAAGAAATTTGAACTTCCGGAGGACAAGGATCACCCCTTCCCGAATCACAGGCTCCAGGTCAACCCCAATGGACACCTTCCTGTCCGAAGGATCATCCAACTCCACCTCTTCAAGAAGTGTTACCGGCTCAGGTCGGGACACGATGTCTGCCCGTCGAGCTGTTTCAGCAATGTTATTGACCTACATGTCATGGTCATTCACCTTCTTCATAGCCTCGTGGTAGCAGGCTCTGGTTGTGTGTGGATTCGTGCGGGCCACCCCTACCCGGTCTCCGTGGGGAATTTTATGCAGGAGTGCCGCACGGAATAGATGGCTTCAAGGTCCTCCAGGCCCGGCCTCCCTAAGATGTCGTTGTGGGCACACTTCAGGCGGACGACGACGAATGTCATGTGGATCGCCGCCCGGTGCTGAACATCCCCAATCTCCACCAGCAAGGCGATCGCCCCCTAGGCGTCTATGCAATCCCCAGTGAATCCAGCCAGGGGAGTTTGCAGAGGAGTGAGCTCGGTTCTGCTCAGATGCATCTTCTCGAAAACGTCCCAGTATTGGATGTTCACACTGCTGCCAGTATCCACCAGGACCCACCAAACAATGGTGTCCTTGATGTCCAGACTGATAACCAGCTCATCCCTGTGCGGCCCTAGGGAGCTAGGCAGATCTGCTGGCCCAAAGGAGATGGGCTCGGCCTTATGCTTCTTGGTGGGAGGTGCATATATGGCTCCCACATAAAGGGCCCTTTCAAACTTCTTTCGCTCCGCCGGGGTATCCCCGGTTTCCGCATCTCCGAAGATCACCTTGATCTCCAACTTCCTTTTGGAGCCGTTCAGCCCGAGGGACCCCTCAGGACGTTTGTCAGCATTGCGGTAGTCAGCATCCTTGACCTCGGCCTCCCGCCGATCATCCCGACGCCAAGTGTGCGGTTTCTTGTACGACTGCATCTGGTTCTGGGGGGTCGGCCCTGTCACGAATTCTCCGAGGTAACCCCTCCGGATGAGTTCATCGATGGCTATACTGAGGCTGTTGCAGCCGTCCGTGCTGTGCCCGATTTTGCGGTGATACTCGCAATAAGCGTTGAGATTCTTGCCAATCGGTCCCTTGGTGTTCCGTGGCTTCTCAAGCATCCCTTTGTCCTTGATGGCCTCAAAGATCTGGCTCACTGTGAATGCCAAGGGGGCGTATCTGGAATCATCACGCCGTGCATCGCCAACATGGCCTTGTGTTCCCCAGGGGGCATAGCCACCGCTCATCTTCTTCTGTTTTAACACAAGGGATTCAGCTGTCCCTAGGCCTAGGCGTTCCGTCACCTTGCGGGTTGCGAGGACTGGTACCCCCGTCTCTCTGAGCAATCTCCTCTTCGATTGCCGCATACTTCTGTGCCCTAGCTAGCACCTCGGCGTAACTACTCCCGGGGTTCCTCTTCAGATCTCTGTATAGATCCCTGGTCGTCAATGCATTGGTGAAGATGGTGATGCTTGTGCACTCTGTGAGGTCCTCGACCTTCAGAGTCTCGTCCCTCCACCTTATGAGGAAGGCGGATAGGGACTCCCCCTTGTTCTGGCAGACGCTCGTCAGCCAGCTGAAATGCTTCTTGGGTGTGAAGCTGGACGCGAACTACACCATGAACTGCCTGGATAGCTGTTCAAAACTATCAATGGTTCTGGGCCTGAGCTGCCCGAACCATTCCTATGCTGGTTCCCGGAGGGTACTGAAGAATAGCATGCAAATGGCTTCATCGGAGGCTCCTAGCATGGAGAGCCCTCTTTGGAAG